CGAACCCTCAAAATTCCCACCCCCTGGGGCATCCAGCCTTCATGAGGTCAAGGTTCTCTTCGTGTGTGAATTTTTATGTTCCCACTCTCCTGTTCTTATTTTGGAACCAGTCAGAAAAGGTGAAATTTTATTTTATTTTAATTAATTTAGTTTTTTTCTGTTTTGTTTGTTTGTTTGTTTTGAGACAGGGTTTCACTGTGTAGCTCTTGCTGTCCTGGAACTTGCTCTGTAGACCAGGCTGGCCCAAAACTCTTGAGATCCACCTGCCTCTGACTCCCAAGTCCTGGGACTAAAGATGCGAGGCACCGCCATTCACCCCTCATCTGGTGGCTTTTATTGATAGTTTTAAAAATACTTAATGTTTTTAATTTCCATATTCCTTCCACACACTTTGTTATTAAGTTTATACAACTTGACTTTTTCAATACACCTGTCACTCACAAATTAAAAGATTTTCTTGGGGCTAGGGGGATGGACAGGTCAGCAGTTAGAGCACAAACTTCTCACACACAGGATTGTCACATTTGGTGGTTCATGGCTACCTATAACTCCAGCTCCAGGGGTCACATCGCCCTCTTCTGGGCTCTACCAGCAAGTGCACTCATGTTCCCATACACAAGACACATTTGCATACATGTAATTAAAAGTAAAAATTATTTTTTTTAAAAAAAGTGGTTTTCTTTACCCCTTGCTCGCATCAGTAGCTCACACCTTCCCTGTCCCTGGTGAGTCGGGTATATGTTGCTCGTCACAGTGGGATTGCTCATTGTAGTTGAAGACACACAGTACCTGGGTTTTCCTCATTGTCAGTCTCAGTTTTTGAAGCCAGATTTCATGGGTTGAGATTTAAGCCTCATCTGTTAGTGTTGCCCCTGAAGATATGATAATCCCCATGGTCCTTTCCTTTCACCGTCTCTTCCCGTTTACTCCATTTCTCTGTCACCATTTTGATTTCTGATGTTTTGTCTCCAGTATAGTCTCGAGGAAGTCTTGTGAGAACACTGTCCTGAGTGCCTGTATGTCTTTTTTGTCACTATTTTGAAGATGAAACACCATGAGCAAATGGACACCATCAGGCTAGAGCCACATGTTGCCTCTAACACAGGCTGGGTGTTTGTTTTTTTAGGTTGTTTTCAGCAGATGATGACTGCAGTGCATGCACGCACCCATGCGTCTTTCCAGGCCAGTGGCATGGAAGGGAGCAGAGTTTAAGATTAAAGCAATGGGGCCCTTGCTGCTCTTGCGGAGGACCCAGGAACAATTCCCAGCACCCAGAGTGTGTGGCTCACAACTGTAATCTGCTTTCAGGGAACTGATGCCTTCTCTGACCTCTCAGAATACATAATGCTTTTTTAAAATATATATATATCTTCAAGTCAGTTTTCATTTCCATGAGGACCTGGAGAGGGCTCAGCGGCTGACAGCAGCCCTTGTGGAGGACTTGGGTTCAGTTTCCAGTGCCACATCGGCAGCTAGGGAACACCTGCAGCTCCGGCTCCACAGTTAAGCCACCAACTCACACATTCTTCCCACGCACGTCCTGGCCTCAGGCAAACACTCACAAAATACACGTCTTTACTTTTCCGAGAGAGGTTTTCAAGTCACCTTTTCTGCATTTTTCTGCCGTTCGCATGCCCTACCCCTCCACGCCCCCCAGGAATGTCTGAAGACCTGTTAGACATTCTGTTCCTGTCTTCATTATCTGTCATTTTTCTCCCAAATCCTTTCTGTGTCTCTCTTTTGATCTTTTTTATGTTAATTTTTTTCTCATTTTAGCCAGACATGGTAGCATAGGCCTTTAATCCCAGCATTTGTGAGATAGAGGCAGATAGATCTCCGAGAATCCAAGGGCCAGCCTGGTCTATCTTGATAGCAAGATCCTATCTCAAAAAAAAAATCTTTCATCTGTTGTCTCAAGATAATGTTCTTAATTTTTCTTTTGATTATTTTAAAACATTGAATTTATTATTATTGTGTGTGATGTGTGTGTGTGTGTGTGCTACAGTGTTCCTGTGGAAGTCAGAAGACAAATCCCTCCTGGGGAAGGGACTCAGGTTGTCAGG